ACTGGAGGGGGTTGGCCAGGGAGCTGCAATCGCTGCTCGGGAACTGTCTGGGTATCGTTTGGTGGGTGGTGAGCAATTGCATTGTGCATCCTTTGCTTGTATATTATTTTTTTTTTTTTAATCATTATTATATTGTTATTAGCATCATTACTATTTTACTTTATTTCAATTATTAAACTGTTCTTATCTCAACCCAGGAGTGTTTCTCACTCTTACTCCTCTGATTCTCTCCCCCATCCCATCGGGGTAGGGGGAGTGAGCGAGCGGCTGCGTGGTGCTTAGTTGCTGGCTGGGGCTAAACCACGACAACCCTCAGAGTTTCTCCTTAGACCAGGTGCTGTCTCTACTTGATACAAGTCTTCAGGATTTTCTTCAAATTCCATGGCTATCAAATTGCAGAACACGTTGCCTTAGTCATATATACACATTTCTAATTCAGTACATCTTTATGTCTGAATCCTCTTATCCCATACAGAATTAGGGAAGGACTCCAAAATTTGCCAGTAGAATGAACCAGCTTGTGCATCACAGCAAGATGTAGTCAAAGAATGTTTTAATAGGTCACTGGTGCATACATGCTGCTATCATAGCAAATGCAGGCCAGGCATGCATTGCCAGCTGTGGCTCAAGAGCTCCCGGTCTGTAGAAGGTTCACTGAGCTGATATTGAAGTTTCATGCACATTCACTCTTTTATCCTGTGTTGAACACTCTTGCTCTGTCTGGCAGAATTCCTGAAGCAGAAGATGCTCTGGGAAATATTCTTCCTCAGGGCAGACAGTATTTAGCTCTTAATTTTTTATGTAACCAGAAACCATATGTCTCAGTTTCTGTTTTACAGTCATATCCTTGTCTTAGACCTAAATTTATCTACGTTCCACACCAGCCTCACTCAACATTATTCACTGTATTTATTTCCCTATTATTATGTGACATTATTTTTGCCAGGAATGCTGAATTGTGCCACTGAGGTTAGAGACAACGTTGCTTGTACTAGAGAAATGAATCCCAGATCAATTTAAGTTTCCTGCACTATTATTTTGTGTCCTGTATCTTGTAAGCAATCGGAAAGTAATGCTGGAAATTTAGAAGTATTTTATCTGCTTAGCTCTCTTAACTGAATAAACACAACAGCATTTATAAGTGGTGACAGCAATGAGTAGCTCAGCTTGAAGTATTACTTCATAGGCGCTGACAGTGTCTTATATATGTCAGTGATAAACACAGTGCCTGTTCTGGGTAGAGAGGCAGCCTCACTTTATGATGCTGACACCAGATCCATGTAGGTAGATCTTTATCTTGTCCAGAATTGCAGTAAAGCTAATAAGAGATCTGCAGGGGCCAATCTGATTGCAGGTGGATGCCTGGAAGATAGGTGGGCAGCACAAGGAGAGATCGACAGGCTGCAACACCCTGCCATTAATTTTGTAATATGTTTGAGCAAATGCAAGTGTCTGGATTTTGTGCTAGACTGAAGCTCCCACCCCAGCTAGCATTCCCCAGTGCTCAGGTTTGGTGGGACGGAAACCCACAGGAGGTCTGCCCCAAGGCAGCGGGGCTGGCTGGCAGTGGTGAGGATCCCGTCAGCCCTCCTCATCCCAGTTCCATGGTAAAAAGTCAAATCCCCCACTCCCAGTGGAAG